AAATAAAACATACAGTTTTATTAAGCTACCAGGTAGAAATTAATCTAATAATCATTTTTATGTTTGTTTATTAGGAAAATTACCAAACGCACCCCTGACAACACTGACGTTACCAGCCAGACTCCATGTGAGTGTGCGTGATGCCCATCTGTCAGGGCGCAGGATTTAAACATCCTCGTCCCAGTGGCTTCCTTCCTCCAGCACGTCTGCTGATCTGGGCCCAGTTCACCGTGGGAAACACCGTGCTCGCTCCCTGCTCGGTTAATGAACTGCCAGCAAATGACAGGTTTCCGTTTTGAAGTTCAGCTCTGTTTAGGAGAAAGACATTCACCCTGAAATTCGTTAGTCAGGACTGTATGATGGTTCCAACCTCCAAACCATCCTAGTTTTGCTAACACGGCTGACTTGGGCCCACGGAGGGGGAATCCCTTTAGTCCTCATCAGATCTACACACATAGCTGTCAGAGCCTCAGGCTGCTGGTGTCAACCAACATGTTGTAGTTTTCCCATGAAGCTTTGCACCACAGATACGCTGCACTTAGTTTCTGTTTCTCAGACTGATTAAAGCGTTGATGTAAGTTGAATCAAACAGAAGCGGGTGTGTGTTCCTACACACACGTAATGGCGAGATGCAGCTGGTTGGAATTAAAGGCCCCACTGACACACACACTGGAAAAAAGCAAACATCCGAAGCGAGATGAAAATACTGCTGTGGAGGGAGCGACTAAAAATACCAGGCAGGGCTGCAATTAGTGGTGTGTGTGCACTGAGCAGCTGCTGTGGTTCAGGGCACTAAGTGTCCCTAATTACTGCAGTGTGTGTGTGTGTGTGTGTGTGTGCTGATAGGAGTGGGCGTCCTGTCCTCAGTATCTCTATTTATCATGTATTCACTGTGTGTGTGTGTGTGTGTGTGTGTGTGTGCGCGCACCAAACCCCAGTGACCAGAGCTGTGTCGTCTCCCTGCGAGGTTTTACAACTCCCTGCTAGGTTCCACAAGGACACACACACACACACACACACACGATGTATGGACGCGGTGCAGGAGGGTGTGTGTTGGTCTGCTCACCTCCTCATTTACATGTTCTCTACGTCCACAGTGCCATGTTTCCCAGCAGAGTTGTTTAGGTTTTGGTTCAGTTTGGCAGAAGGAGCCCGAGTGTGACTCCTCCTGAATCCTCTCTGGGTCGATGAAGCTCAGAATTGATAAAGTTTTGATTGATTGGCAGAAGAAATAGTCATATACTTTATTTTCCAATCTGCAGGTTTTGGGACCTAAAGCAAGATTCCATTTTTTATGGAAAAGCACAGTGGTGGAAAGTAACTAAGTACATTTACTGAAGTACTGTTAGGTACAATTTGGGGGTATTTTTTGCTCAAGTCTTTTCATTTTCTACTACTTCATACTGAGACTTCACTACATTTCAGAGGCAAATGTTTTACTTTTTTACTGCATTTCATGTATTTCAAAATGTTCGTTCCCTTTTAAAATACGATCAATCAACCAAAATACAGTCTAATCACAAAACTTTACTGATCACCTCCTGGGAAATTCACAAGCTACCCAGCGGTATATAAAGTACTGAGGCAGTTAACATCAGCTCAACCTGTACTAGCTGCAATATATAAAGTAACACAAAAATACATCAGTGACTATAATCCATTAATACGATACACATGATATACATGAATGTGATATGTGCCATTCTGCATAATGAATACTTTCACTTTTGGTATTTGATGCTAACACTTTTGTACTTTAGTAACATTTTGAATGCAGGACCTTTGCTTGTAACAGAGTATTCTAACACTGTAGTACTGCTACCTTTGCTTAAGGATCCCAGTACGTCTTCCACCACAGAAAT